TCGTGAGGCGATTACGTCAACGTGACAGCATGACAGACAGTGGCTATCTTTCTTTTTTTTTTTAAAATGTTAGTACTTGACTGCAGTAGCACCTAACGCATCCTGTTATGGTCCACGATAATGCACGCATAAAATTTCATTCAAATCGGCAATCGCCGTAAATGAAGAGTTCAATAAAGCCTTCCTCTATATTGGTCATACTTCTATTATGTTGTTAGTATCGCAGCAGTGTGTTACTTCGTAGCTGATATCGCAATAAAGCATCCGATATTATCGAACGATAATAATGCGCTTATAGGGCTGAGGCTTATAAAGAAGTAATTCGCAGATCTCGTGCTCTACAGGACTTGAAAGGGCATTGACAATGAATCTACCCATTATAGATTATTCAAAAAATAAAAATACACATTATGTTTTTGATGTGTAACATCTTTCCTCTATATTTCCTGCAATTTGTGAGAGTGATTTCGTGAAACGGGACGGAAGTGTGTAACAGGAAGTTGCGAAAGCGCGCGCTATATGATTACTGTTCAAATGGCTTATTCCTTTTGTAGTAGATTTTATTTCTTTTTTTACAAATATAAGGTAAGGTTTCAAATGTTACACATCATACGCGACTACTGTAAGGCTCGCTCGTTTTTTTTCTGCAGATATAAAAATAAATATACCATGTTCGTGAATTGTCATGACTTGAAATAGTGCTAAATACGTCGACATGCAATGACTGACATTTATGATGTGTAACATCTTTCCTCTCGCTGTCGTGCAATTTGTGGCAGTGATTTCGTGAAACAGGACGAAAGTGTGTAACAGGAAGTCGCGAAAGCGCGCGCTTTTTGATTTGATTTTAGATCATAATGTCCAAATGGCTTATTCCTTTTGTAGTAGGTTTTGTTTCTTTTTTCACTAATATAAGGTGAGGTTTCAAATGTTACACATCATACATACGACTACTGTAAGGTTCGCTCCTTTTTTTTTAAACCAACTTTTCCAAAATATTTTTACGTCATTTTAAAGTCTTTCGATTTCCGCGTCTTTTGAGCTCTCAAACGTCCTCGTGGCCGCACGCGAGCCGCCCACCGCGTGATATAGCACCTCGCGCCGCGCAAAAGTCGCGGCTAGGGGCACCTCTATAGCCTCAACCATCACCAATATCGAAAAAAGTGTCATCATCATCATCATCATCAGCCTATTAATGTCCCCACTGCAGGGACAGGCCTTCCCTATGGATGGAATAGGGAGACCATCAGGAGGAGGAGGAACCTCTGCCGGGGTAACGTGGAGCGTCACCCGTTCCGGCAGACGAGGGAGCACTGTTGGGTTTTTAGTGGGTAGCCCCCCCCCCCCCCCTCATCCCGAACAGCCGCCGAGCCAGCTTGGCTGTATTTGGCGGGAGAAAGTGTCCCACATAACCCCGCCACCTACCCAGGGCGGGGTATGCGTAACGCATTTACCCAACATAAAAAAAAGGGAGATTGGGCCATGACCCACCCACGCGGGCCCAGTGCGGATTGGCGGGTGCTAACGACTGCAGATGCAGCCGGGACCAACGGCTTAACGTGCCTAACGAAATACGTGTAAATGATTACCTAAAATGTTCCTTAGTTCAATATCGAGGTGATTTTTTTATATTTTTGAAATTCGGCCCTGTTCTCGAGATATCGGAAAAATTCTGTGAAACACACACGATTTTACGGTCGAGAAAAATCGCTTTTTTTTAGATTTCCAAAAAAGTTTTAGACTTTTCCAAAATAATGTTTGGATCTTCTTAAAGCCCTTCAAATTTCGCATCTTTTGAGCTCACATACGTCCTCGTGGCCCTTTTTTTTTATACGCAGGCAAAAAATACTATTTTCAGACCACGGCGCCTTTAAGAGGCATACCGCCGAACGGACCTCACACCTGGCTCCCGCAAGCCTTACGAGCCCCAGCAATGGCTGCCCACTGAGGACCCCGTAACCCTTACGGGCGCTTTACGGCATAATATCCGCTAAAAAACCCTGCGAATACCCTCTAAGCTGCTTAGCGCGAAGCCACGGGATCCCCGTTTAGGGATTCTTCCGCGTACGTCCTCGTGGCCCTAAACCTCGGGGTATCACGGGCGAGTCGCACTTTCAGCGAAAATGGGGGCCTACTGGAGCGAACGAAAAAACAATTTCAGTGTTAAAAGATGATAGCTGTACGCCAAGGCACATTAACTTGCATGTTAATTGATATTGATATGTGAGACGTCATTACGAAAGATCAGTCGACCCTGAATCTTTAATATGTGGTTGCGCCAGGGTTTGGAGCCTATAAATAAATAAATATGTCCAACACCCACACCAATTAGCCTAGCCTCAAAGTAAGCACTGTAAGGTTTGTATTATGGGATGCTAGGGTAACGAATAGAATACATAATATACTGTAATTAAATATGTAAGTATATTTATATAGACATACATATTAAACATCCATGACTGGAGTACAAATGCTCGTATTCATCACACAAATATCTGCCCCCACCGGGATGGGACCTCTCGAGTCGGCGACACCATGATACCCGGCGTACAAACCACTCAACCACGGAGGTCTTATTGCTGTCCATTTCACCATTCTCTGATATTAAGAACACGTTTCCAGTCGGACGTTCCTTCTTGTCGAACTGCAACATGTTGCCCGTTATCAGTAATCTTTCTTTGCTTGACATATCTGATTCTAAATAGATTTTGATTATGTGTCATACACATAACAATACCACTCGTTAATGGACATATTTTTTAGTTGCGGAGAAAAACGAGCGAAAAAAACTCCGCAACGTTAAAACAACATTTAGAAATCATTATGGTGTTACAACTTCAAGACAATCATGATTTATTTAATTAAGAAAACCTGTTGGAATGATTGTGACAGTTCAAACCCAAGCATTTTTATCTGTAATATAATCAGACACTTTGTAATAAGCTTTTTTATAATAAGTGCTTTTTTTATACTATCTTTAAATTTATTTAGCTATTTATATTGAGGAGCTCAATGGCGCAACTGGTTAGCGCGTCCGGCTGCGATCGTTGAAGTTAAGCAACTTTGGCAGTGGTCGGTCATTGGATGGGTGACCAAAAATTTACTATCTCGAGCTTCTCCGTGTTTCAGAAGGCACGTTAAGCCGTTGGTCCCGGTTGCATCTGCAGTCGTTAGCACCCACCAATCCGCACTGGGCCCGCGTGGTGGGTCATGGCCCAATCTCCCTATTCCATCCATAGGGAAGGCCTGTGCCCCAGCAGTGGGGACATTAATAGGTTAATGATGATGATGACTGCCAAGGTGAACTGGTGGGCAGTTATCTGGTCTCAGTGTGAAGGTAATATGAACACATTTTGCAGCACAAGCTGTTATCCATAGTCCCTTCTGAAGAATGCTTTCAGCAATGGCTGAAGCTAAGGCTGGGCTGTCATTCTTACTTTCACCGCGCTCAGTATAGACTCAATTTGAGATAAAGTTTTGAAATTTATTTATGGTTAACTCTTGCATATTGCTTGGGACTTTATTGTATAAAGTCATGTCATGATGCCCCGCATAACAACCAACAATCCTGCATCGCACGCACTGCAGTCGCGGCCACTAACACCAAGAGAAAGAGCACCCTCCTCCGTCGAACGCCATCAGGGTTAACATAGGGTACCAAATGTGAAAGAAATTTTCAAATCGGTTTTGTAGTTTCGGAGTCCATCCAATACAAACAAACAAACAACAACAATGAAGACATAATGATCGCTACCAGAATACACTGAAGCTCCCGTTTTCAAACTTGAAATCTCTTATCTATTAGAAAAGTCCGTCCGTCTGTCTGTGGTGCTGTTTCAGCGGCCAAACCGTAAGAGATAGATAAAGAGAATATTTAAGTTATAAGTTAAGAATAGTCTGATAAGACTACAAACCGGATTTGAGTAACGTAGCACTTCCGGTTTTCGAGAAATCAGGTTTTGGTGAACATTTGGTTCACTGGTTTGCTAGTTAGTATCTAATTCTCCACACTCCATGTTAATTAAAATATATAATCACATACCCAACAATATCAAAAATTTGGAAAAAGTTTTTTTTTTGAAAAACGTCTAAAGGAATATCTCGCTAATAAATCCTATTTTAATATATTAGAGTTTTTTCAAGATAAACATATTTGATATATAATTTTAATGAAGTCATAATAAAACTTATTAAATCTCATCACATACCTCTATATTATATTAAAAATTCTAAGTGTGAAAATTGTATATTAATATCTATAGTTTTTAAATTGTTAAATATGTGTATTGTTTTAAATTTAATTTTGGTAAGATACTTTATATTTTGTATATTAATTGAATTGATTTAATTTTTTTTTGTAATATATTTGATAGTTTATTTAAATAATGATAATAATTTAAGTAAAATTGCAACGCCCTTGAAGGGTGTCACATATTTGTACAACATATGATATTGTTGTTTTTTGTACTATCTGTGTCATGCAATAAAGAATAAATAAATAAATGAAATCTTACTCATTACAAGTATAAACGTAGATATATTTGTATATAAATATTCCTCTCTCCTTCTACTTTCCTGTTCTCTATCCTCTTTCTGTTCTATTTCTTCCAAACCTAACCCTACTCCACCCAGATCGGCGTGCTAAATCCCGACTGGATAAAATGAGGGCTTAGCACCATTGTCCATCACCCAAATTAGTCTTTAAGACATATTAGCATAAGGAAACCTTAATATGACTCATTTTATGTGAAAATTAAGTATGCTTTCGTGAAAATTGGTTCATACGGTTCAAAAAATGTAACAATCAAAAGAGCGGACAGTTACTGCAATACAACTATTATCTTCGCTGGCGTAAAACAGTATCTTTGCAAATACTGAGCAGTATTCTTGTATCAAAACACAAAAAAAGTATCCATTACTCGGGTAACAAGTCATCAACCTCATTGCCGATAACAAGAGAATGCGTTTTTTTATCTGTTTTGGGCTTTCCCACTGCCTGATGTAATTTGCGCAAGAGACTGCTTGGTTAAGACACAGCACGTACAACGATCTGGGAAATATTTCGACATTAACTCGACCAGCCTCGTGAGGCCCACTCGCTTCATATCATTATCGAGACATGCAGAAGCAGTAAAGAAATTTTATTGAAACACTATGTTGAAATTTCTGTGAGAAAAAAGTGTGTTAAACGGTTCTGGTGAATATGAAGGCTAAGGTTACAATGAACGTTCTATATTTAAAACTGACTGAGTGAAGAAATGATGAGTGTGCCGTTCCATATTCAAAAAAATTGTTGAAATTTCTGTGAGAAAAAAGTGTGTTAAACGGTTCTCGTGAATATGAAGGCTAAGGTTACAATGAACATTCCATATTTAAAACTGACTGAGTGAAGAAACGATGAGTGTTCCATTCCATATTCAAAAAAATGAAGTGAATGGAATTGTGAATAAAATTCAATCGAATAGCGCTTTTTTTGGATTGGACAAGATAAGTAATTTCTTTTTGAAATAAAGGTTACATTCTTTCCTTTTGAGGTTACGGTTGTACGGAACCCTTAAAAATGATGCGAACTTTTGTTATTTATAGCATGCTGTTATGTGTTTTGGTGCATAAGTCAGAGTGTGTGTTTGGTACTTTTACCAGAGTCGTGGAGACGAGTTACGGCAAGGTTAGAGGTAGGAGGAGCGTCTCTGGACAGAACCTGTTCTATGGAATACCATACGCGACCAGCGAAAGATTCCAAGTTAGTACCGAGCAATTAGTTATACGTATACATTATAATTTACTAACTTACAGCATTCGTTCTGAAGCTAGCATACAGCTATCATGAACCCTGATAAAATTATTTAACTTACTTTAATTTTACTATAAAAAAGTTGACGCGGTACGGGCATCAGAGGCCTGAGAACAAATTTTGTCAGCTTCGTAATCGCATCGTCGAATTTTCTATGAAAATGAAGCACTACCACTACCGGACATAATAACAAACTGGACCCAGGTTCCATACAAAATTTGACGATAACGATACGATCGCGGAGCTGTCAAAATTCTTTCTTGGGCCTCAGACGGGATTCGAACCCGTACCTCCCTCACGGATTCCGCCCTGATTGGCGAAGGTTTGTTCGAACTCTGTAATAACTTGAGTATTTGTAACACACGGGATTCGAACCCAGAACATTTTCGAGACAAGGAGGATTAAGGCTGCCAATGGAATATGACTAATTGAAATATTTTTATAATTTTTATTTTTTAAGTATGTAACTGCTCGATGTTTAAATCTTAAGAAAATATTACGAGAGTCTGTGCGGAAAGAGAATGGTCGTGGCGAAAAGCGGAACTAACATTAAGATTAATATTGTACCTATCTAATGCCGCTTCCTATATACTACTTAAAATGTTAACTATAAAATTAATTGTAACTACATATTTATATTCTAGATGATGTAATGGAAAGTGACTTCAGACGTATTTCTGAAGTAATTTTTCAACTTGACGACACTGTATATAACAATACAGGGAGAAAAAACAGCCCTTGCTGAGTTTCTTACCGGTTCTTCTCAGTACAAGGTCTCCCGCCGTAGTTTTGCGAACCGATGGCGTGGCTTCTTGACCTTCACAAGTGCTTGTAACAGCCTAGACTGAATAAATGACATTTCATTTCATTTCATTTCATTTTTAAATGGCAATAAAACCCAGCAATCTGTCAAACGTCAAAGTTTTGTATTGATACGGATTTGTTTGTTGTTGTGATTTCTTACGGTTTTTCGTATTAAATCATGTCTAAAATGGGTAAAACCAGTGGCGGCGCTAGACCACATATGGACGTCGGTGTCATTAAGTTCGCCAGGCCTATTTTAATTCGCAGTAAAAAAAAGTTAAATTAAGTGAGCCAAATTATAAAATAACTAGCTGACCCAGCGAACTTCGTACCGCCATAAAAAAAATTAATTAAAAAAACATTGTCCAGCGGACAAAATTGTGAATCTAAACCATTCTCAGATCCCCTTGAACACACACAAAAAATTTCATCAAAATCGGTCCAGTCGTTTAAGAGAAGTTCAGTGACATACACACTCACAGAAGAATTATATATATAAAGATGTATGAGTAAACGAGTTTATTAAATTTGTTTGTTTGTAATTATTTTTTGTCATCATTTGATATTCAAATGAAACATAGAAATTTAATTACAAAAATAGTGTAGCCAGACAGACGATTCTGAATACCCGTAAAGTAGTACTCGCTTCCATCACGCACGTGTTCGAAAATAATAAAACATTATCATCTGCTAAGTTTTTCCTCGAATTGTTCGGGGTCGGCTACCTAAGCCAGGCCAGGAGAAACGAAAATAAATAGGTAACTTGTAAAAATTTTTTGCGCGGGCCCCTCAGGCGCGAGGCCGTCGGCGGTGGCCGACGTCGCCGACGCCTAGCGCCGCCACTGAGTAAAACCTTACAAATACGGTAGACAAGCACTACTGCGCCCTCCAATCTAAATCCCATTCTCTTTCAGCACAGACTTTAGAAAAAATTCCACGACAAGCAGACGGAACTCGAACCCGCACTAGGCTTATTGAAAATATATCGATGTATCGATACATCGATATTTTTTGTTCGATATATCGATATTTTTTGCCGATATATTTTGATTCGATATATCGATACATCGATACAAAATAACCAATATCGAAATTCGTATCAAAAACGATATTTTTTTAATTATTAGCGGCATATCACGATCTAACTAAATTCGTATCTGGAAAAATCGTAACTGGATCTCAGATTAATGATATACAACATATCTATGATCTGTGCGGTATTTAGTATTGTCTATGTCATCATTCGAAAATAGGGTCTATTTTTAGGGAGATAATTTTCGTTCCATTATTATTCCGCGTGTCATATTTCGTGAGCGATATTTTTGGGAAAATTGGTCCGATATATCGATGTTTTTTTTTCGCGATATATCGAAGCCGATATTGATATTTTTTAAAATATCGATGTATCGATATATCGATATTTTTTTCACCTTTCGACATCCCTATCCCGCACCCTTCGCTATCCGGGCGAATGCACTGACCATTAAGTTACCGCGGCCGATGGCCGCGTCGAATTCTTTATAGCTTATCATAAGCTGCAAAGCAGCGCCATCTCTTCGCATTGTAGGTATCCCACAATGTGAAATGAATACTTTTACACGTATTAAACATTTGAAAGAAGAAATAGCAATTATTATAGTTATAGTTTTTAATTTTTTAAGCATGTAACTGCTTGATGTTTAAAGCTAAAGAAAATACAACTAGAACAAAAACTTTACGATTCATAAGATACAGTCAGTTGACAGAGCAGACGCAGAAAAGGTAGAGATTAGAGTACTTTAACTTTAGGGGTTACAAAGGACCTCATTGAATACAGAACCCTAAAAAACTCGCCTTAGTCGAGTGACTTAAAAGCCACCACGATGCCTTCTCGCCATCATTTAGGCCAGGACAAGGATTCAATACCCAGTCGTGGCAATATTGAAGGACCCACTTTTCTATATAATTGTTTATTTCTAAACTCTTAACGTGTTGTTTTTTCGTTTAAAGATCTAGATTTATAAACCAAAAAAAACATTTTGGTTCAATTTGGACCGATTTTCGGTAATTTTTAAAGTGAGCCCTATGGTACATCGTCACTTCAGCTACATATTTACCATTAGATAAGTTTCAGTAACACCTACCTTAATCATCATCATCATCAGCCTATTAATGTCCCCATTGCTGGGGCACAGGCCTTCCCTATGGATGGAATAGGGAGATTGGGCCATGACCAACACGCGGGCCCAGTGCGGATTGGTGAATGCTAACGACTGCAGATACAGCCGGGACCAACGGCTTAACGTGCCTTCCGAAGCACGGAGGAGCTCGAGATAGTAATTTTTTGTCACCCATCCAATGACCGACCACTGCGAAAGTTGCTTAAGTTCAACGATCGCAGTCGAACGCGCTAACCACTTACACTGTTAAATATTTATTTCTTAATTTACCATCATTTCAGCCACCGAAAGAGCCTGCATCCTGGAACGGGATCTTCGACGCCGTGAGACGATTCGGGTCATGTTCGCAGACAGTTTCCCTACTCAGACTGGGCTCTGAGGATTGCCTGAGCTTAGACCTGTATGTTCCTGAGCGAGCGAAGCCCGGGGACAAGATTCCAGTCCTGGTGTTCCTCCACGGAGGCGCCTACTACTACGGCAGCAAATTACACTACGATCCAGAATTCCTGGTCACTAAAAACGTTATCACGGCCATTATCAACTACAGAGTCGGCGCCCTTGGCTTCCTCTGCCTAAACGGTATCGCCAACCTTGGGCTAAAGGACCAAGTCGCAGCCTTGAAGTGGATAAAGAAGAATATCGCAGCCTTCGGAGGAGATCCAGACAATGTGACTATGTCAGGCCAAAGCGCAGGAGCAAGCGCCGCAGCCATGCACATGCTCTCTGAATCCAGCAAAGGGTTGTTCCACAAACTGCTCCTCATGAGTGGATCACCTTTAACACCGTGGGCGTTCAACACGGAACCTCAAACGCCCGCGTTTCAAGACGCAAGGAAGCTAACTCGGGCATCATCAGAGAAAGAGGTGCATGATTTCTTCGCATACGCTTCTGTCGACGAAGTGCTCACGGTGGCGAGCGACACTTCCCTAAATCCGAGATATTTCAAATACAGCCCTTGCGTAGACAGCAACTCCTCGGAACCATTCTTCAAGGATACACCGTTTAACTTGATAAAGTCTGGTCGTTTCAACAAGGTGCCAATCTTGACGGGAGTCACTAGCGTCGAGGGCTTGTTATTCTACGGGTTGAATAGCGAGAAAACGTTGCAAGAACTCGATGAACAATTCGTAGAGCGGCTCCCCTTCGTGTTCTCCTGGTGTTCTGAAAAGGATAAGCGAGAAATCGCTAATGAAATGCGCTCCCAGTACTTTGGATCGGAGCCTATAAGGAGAGCGCAGTACAGACGCATTATAGACTTTTACTCCGATTGGATAGCATACTCGACGTCGCAAGCTTTTGTGGATTTAATGGTGAAGTCTTCCGACCAGCCGGTGTACTCTTACTTGTTTCATTATGAAGGGGACAGAAATTTCGCGAAATCGCTGCTTGGTCAAGGTCTGGAGGTGGAAGGGGCCTCGCATTCTGATGACATCTTCTACGTGTTCAAGCCGGCAGGGCTGTCGCTGATACTGTCCAGCAGGGACCGGCTGTTCATAGACCGCCTCACCACGATGATCACCAACTTCATGAAATACGGGTAAGGTGTTACAACTTTACTAAATTGTAACTTTTTTAATGAAAATACGACAAATCTTTAACTATGAATCCGATGCTTCAGAATAATGACGACCTCCGTGGTCGAGTGGTTTGTACACCGGGTTTCATGGTGTCGCTGACTCGAGAGGTCCCGGGTTCGAATCTGTGGGGGCAGATGTTTGTGTGATGATAACGAGCATTTGTGAAATGAAATGAAATGTCATTTATTCAGTCTAGGCTGTTACAAGCACTTGTGAAGGTTAAGAAGCTACGCCATCGGTTCGCAAAACTACGGCGGGACTACTGTACTCCAGTCATGGATGTTTAATATGTATTTCTATATAAATATACTTATATATGTAAAGTATTTGTATTCTATCCGTTACCCTAGCATCCCATAACACAAGCCTTAAACAGTGCTTAGGCTAATTGGTGTGTTTAAAAAAAATGCATTTTCGGAATTATTGATATCCCTGTCTTTTATTACAGTATGGCAACATAATCTCATAAATAAAGAAATAAGGATAAAGAAAAATATAGGTAATAATAAAATTGATGTTAGCTTGACGCTAGACTAGAGTTTACGTGATAAATATATAATTAAAGTTAGTAAAACAACCTCAATATGAATTTTGAATTACCAAAAATTGTCACTCAATCTACACAGCAATAACATCGCTATTTATAGATACAACCACAACCCCTAATTCATAACTGTGTACAAAAAGTTATGTTACAATAGCCACTTTCTATTAGCCTCCATTAAGCACGTAATGAGTGGAACAAAAAAAATACATTAGCGCCGTTAGTGGTGACACGGTGGCGATAAGTAAGGATGTGTGGCACTCACAAGGGCCATCTGGTAGACCGCTACTATACTACACGAGCATTGAACATGACTGAGCACATATCGGGGAACACCCTTAAATACGAACACATTTCTTAATTATAACTCTCATGCCTTGCAGCCTATGAAATAATGGAAGAAATTCGAATGGTCTCGAAAACGAACGACGCTACGCTTCTAAAATAATAAAAAATTGTGTGTGTTAGCTCCGACGCACGACAGGAGTTTACTCCTTAAGTTCGATAGTCTAACCAGACGCAAAAAGAGTTTATTTAACTTAAAAAATATTGATACTGTATGAAAGGGTAATTTAACAAATTAATGAAAACAATATACATATATAAATATATTTATTCATTTCATATACATTTATTATAACTAATCGACGAAATATTTTACATTAAACTTCTTACAATAGTCAATTTCAGATGTGCATAAATATATCATTAGGAATGTTGATAAATTATGTAATTATTATTATCAGACTATTATCATTATTTTAAATATTAATTAAATCAACATTGTCTGCATTATTAATTACATTGACAAGTGGTTTATGGTAACTAAAATAAGACACAAATATCAATCCGTCATCTTTGTTTGTCAAAGTTGCGTGACATAGGATGCGCACCAAAAACGTAACGAGGTCATTCAGCGATAGATTTTACTCCTCACATTTTTCTCATACCGGGCCCCTTATATATGCCAATCGATTCTTAAGGAGTAAACTCCAAAAATAAAAATCTTTATTAGATCAATACCAGAATACAAATCAAAAGGGATTCTGGCTTCTAAAAATATAGGATTAACCTGTGTATTAGGACGCAGTATCTTCCAAAAAATTACACATTTACATGGTAATTACATTTACATCCGACAGAGAACCAGAGTTATCGACATAGCCCACCGGATTAGCAAGTTGAAGTGGCAGTGGGCTGGCCATATTTGTCGAAGAACCGATAACTGTTGGGGTAGACGAGTTCTGGAGTGGAGACCGCGTCTAGGCAAACGTAGTGTAGGACGTCCTCAGGCGCGACGGAGTGACGATTTGCGCAAGGTGGCTGGCAGGAGCTGGATGCGAGTAGCCCAAGATCGATCTGAGTGGCGTGCAATTGGAGAGGCCTATGTCCAGCAGTGGACTAAGATAGGCTGTTGATGATGATGATGACATGGTAATTTCAGACGCGTATAAGGCAATGTTTCGTGTTTTAAAATAAGAATTAGAAAGTTTTTGGGAAAATACATGGTTCTGTTTCATTACATTCTATTAAAAAAATCCTTTGATTCATGGGTACTTAAGCATCGAGCAGTTTAGTTTTATATACTGTATAGATTAAAGTTCGTATAAGAAAATTATTACGCTGACAAATCATATCGTTGTCACAAACCATGTAGGTCTTTCTCATTGCCAAAATGTCGTACAAATGCAGGCAAACGATCCACCTTGTATCGGCTTGCCCAGACTTACAACGACAAATTTAATGAAATTGACATTTTTGCGATCCCTGTAACTTCGTTTAAGAGAAAAGTACTTGAAACTTTTAAGTAAATAAATCAGAAATCGGAAATTGTATTATAGAGTGTGTATTTGACGACCTCCTTGGCCGAGTGGTTTGTACGCCGGGTTTCATGGTGTCGCCGAATCGAGAGGTCCCGGGTTCGAATCCCGGTGGGGGCAGATGTTTGTGTGATGAATACGAGCATTTGTACTCCAGTCATGGATGTTTAATATATATTTCTATATAAATATACTTATATATGTACAGTATATGTATTCTATCCGTTACCCTAGTATCCCATAACACAGGCCTTATAGTGCTTAGCTTGGGGCTAGGCTAATTGGTGTGAGTGTTGGAAATATTTATTTATTTATTTACATATTTAAGTATAATAGGCAAATAAAGTAAATTAATAGTAAATTTAAGTTAAATGTATACAGTCTCCCAATGCTAACTACTGTTAAAAACTCTGTGGTAAATATAGTGAACTGATAGTATTAGTTTATAATGAAATAAGATTGTATCATTCTTTGTTTACCATAATAAAGAGAAAAAAAAACCCAAGACAAAACCGCAAGAACGCGTTAGTTTATAATATTTATAGTAGTTAAGATGTTTTCTTATACTTCCATTGACATATCTCATTTGACAAAATTTTAAAGGATTGTAAATTACATTATAGTGAAAAAGAATGATGTTTCGATATTCGAAGCAAGCGAAATCAGCTACGGAAAATTTATTTTGTATCTTCGTAGACTTTTTGTAAAGCTTGACTGAACTTACGGGAAAAGTTTCAGAACATACCCATAATACTTTATACTTGATTTAAGTAATTCGAACTATTTTTGCTGCCACAATATTCCTGAACTTCAGTGTTATTTATTCTCTAATGCACACTTGCAGTGAATTATTATTGTAAAATTTAGATTTAGAGTCTATAAAGCCTTATTCTGCAATGAATGTGTAACTAAACTAAAGAAAATTTTAAAATTGGTCAGTGCATTCGCCCGGATTGCGAAGGGTGCGAGTTCGAGTCCCGTCCGCTGCCTGGTCACGTGGATTTTTTAAAATTGCTCCGTGCATTCGCCCGGATTGCGAAGGGTGCGGGTTCGAGTCCCGACCGCTGACTGGTCCGCGTGGTTTTTTTTTCTAATAAAACTTTCCTTTAGATTTAAACTAAAGACTTCATTTTGACAGTATAAGCTTAGGATTCTCTATGATAAATGAAGATGGTAGTCTGTTGTAAAATTGTGTTTTACTTAAGAAATCATACCGGAATGTCTTTTATCAGGAACCCAACGCCAAAGAAGAGTCATCTGTTGCCCGTGATATGGCCACCCGCCAACTCTTCGATGACGATGCGTCTGGACGAGCACCTGTCCATCATCAAGGCTGAACCGTCCACCCACCAGCAGTTCTACCTCAACCTGCTGTGCACCTACGGCCAGCCAGGGTACGTGCCCTGTGAGAGCGCACGAAAATGCAACAACTCCAGTGACAGTAGTTAGAATATTACATACCACTAGTCTGAGTGTTCAATACAGAATTAAGAGATAGGAGACTTATGCCGGATTCATATTTGTCTGACGTGTTGTTTTGTGCTTGTGACGCATCAGTTCGGTACCCTTAACACGAACCAATATCGAAATCGAATAGTATGCGAATGCAAAAAAAAAATTAAAATAAATAAAAGTCAAAAAGAAATTGTAGTAAAATAAATTAAATAATTTTAATTAATTAATTAAAGTAAGGTAAATTTTTGAAGTTATACTTCTTTAGGCGCGTTATGAAAAAATGATGAGAGTGAAATTTTTAGATGCGCGCGCATCACTGTAACCCAAAAGTAACAGCATGAAGTTGGCCGCGGGCGCGTTATGAAAAAAACATGTGAGTGAAATTTCGAGATGCGCGCGCATCACTGTACTTACAAGTGCTAATTACATATGGACTAATAACTTAAAATTCAGTAGTGATTTTAATTGAATATTTTTAATATTTATTTAATTTTTCAAATTAAAACTGAACTTAATTGACTGTGTTAACTATCCTTTTCCAGTCCTTTTATTATTTTATTGTAATTATTAATTATTTGCATGCAATTAAAAAATATTTTTAATGATGCTAAAGAAGTATAACTTCTCACGCACGTACATAAGTTACACGCATCCATTTTTTTTTAGTAAAATTTTGTATCGAAACTTGAACAGCAGCGCCATAACGGACGTAACGAGGACTAAACATCAGTATATTATAATTAATTTAAAGGTCTTTGTGTTCGCTTATACAATAAAATCCCAAGCAATATCCAATAACCACAAATAAATTTAAAGATATTATAAAAAAAAGCACTTATTAAAAAAGCTTATTACAAAGTGTCTGATTATATTACAGACAAAAATGCTTGGGTTTGAACTGTTCCAATCATTGAAACAGGTTTTCTATATTAAATAAATCATAATTGTATTTGTAACAACATAATGATTTATAAATGTTACATTAGACTTTTAATGTTGTGGAGTTTTTTTCGCTCGTTTTTCTCCGCAGCTAAAAAATATGTCCATAAAGAGTGTTAGGGAATAAAATTTTGGACGTTTCAAAAGCGTTGTACTATACATCCATTTTTTTTTTAGTAAAGATAGGTATATTGATTTCTGATTTCTGAGTACATACGGGACAATGGTATGTAATGGTACAAGAACGTTATCGATTTCATACATTTAGTACAGTGAGTTTTTGTTCGTGAGTCTTGATTTCTTGTGACGGCTTCTGCATCAGAAGAGATTGCGTTCGCGTTAGAGAGGTGAGGGAGGGAGGGAGGCGGGGGCAGACAAGTGCACGCACCAGTATTGTTGCGATATGTCGGTGCCCGTATCTGTTATCTATTAGACAAGTCCGTCCGTCCGTCTGTCTGTGGTGCTGTTTCAGCGGCCAAACCGTAAGAGATAGATAAAGAGAATATTTAAGTTATATATTAAACAATAAGTTAAGAATAGTCTGATAAGACTACAAACCGGATTTTAGTAACGTAGCACTTCCGGTTTTCGAGAAATCACGAATTTCAAACGAAACCACACAAAATCTCCGAAGTTCTCAATTAATTAAATACTTTTTTTTTTAAATTAGGTTTTGGTGAACATTTGGTTCACTGGTTTGCTAGTTTTTACTATTCTTCTTTTTACAGGATTTGCTTGTGGCAGGCAAATGAATATCTTTTACAAAATCGGAATCAGAATCTGAGGATTCTTTGAAAAATATTGCGAATGTGTGTGTCGTACACTCTCCAAGAGCTACAAAAGTAATGTTTACTATAAGTATATCACATCAGAGCACGTCACGACGCAACACATCAGACAAGTATAAAACCGGCTTTAACGTGACTGAGATTATACATATGTTTATAATTTTGATAAAATAATATTATATTACAAGCGGCCGCCCGCGAATTCGTCCGCCTTAACTTTTTATTTTTTTTTAAATCCCTCATGAGCCTTTTCCGGAATAAAATGTGTGCCAAAGTTCATACAAAAAAGTTCAACAGTTTTTGCGTGAAAGACTAACAAAACACCATTAATATATAAGAAAATTACTAGGTTTTTTTTGCTGTTTTTATAGGTTTCTATATACCTACATTAATTTTACCAGCATCATTATTATGACCTTTTTTATTCATTCCCGCTCTCATTGGAATAACCTTCTAGGTAAGCGACCTCTAATATATACTTTATAGAAATCACTTCACAGTAAAACAAGTAAACTTATTTTTTAGTTAACATGTAGATTAAGTTTTTTACACAGTGCTCGCCGAATTTAGAGTTTAGCGAGTTAAGCGATCGCACTTGAACTCGCTAAGGGCGCCCAATAACCAAATAAGTACACAAATTTTCAAAAATGATGAACATATTATTTATTAATTTTTTATTTATTTATTTATTTTATTTTAGGAAGGTTTACAGCTATCAATCACTTATTAAATAAACAAAAAACAATATCTAAAAGCCAATTAAAAACCTCCACATATTAAACATGCTTATATAACTATAACTATCTCATAATCTTTTATCCTACTATAATATGCTTACATGCTTATAATATGCTTCATATCATAATATATTTATTACAGTTAACAATTTATACTATCTTAAACAAAAAAGAGAAAGGAAACAGACGCCAGTTTGAATATTCAGCATATTATTAATCTCCATAAAAACATTCGCCTCACTTACATTAAATTTAATGCTACTACTAAAAAGGCTAATTAAAAAAATCAAGGAATCCCACTGCTTAAATATGACCTTCTATAAAGATTGAAAAGAAAAAAACAAGTCCAGTAGTCTATAATACTGTTAAGTAAGGAACAAAGCTCCTTTAACAGTCGGGACCCATTAGATATTCTAGAATGAATATTTTTTTTCACTAGGTTTAGGAGTCCCAAAAAATAATGACAAAATAATGACAAAAATAATGACACGTAATTTATTTATATTTATATTTTATTTATAGTCTAGCTATCCAAAGGGGGAACGCTGCCAGTATCTTCGGAACCTTGCCTAAAGGGACTCCTTTTAATAATGTATTTTAGTTATTATATTTTATTTTTTAAGGTTTTTAGTTTTAAGTTCATTGTTATAGTATATTTTTTATTTATTTATATTAAGATATGCTATTAATATGTTTGGGCTATACTACTGTTAAGTTTCATTCAAATCCATTCAGTTATTTTTGCGTGAAAGAGTAACAAAGATACATACGTAAGATTGAAAAAATTAAAAGCGCTTGTGGTTAACGGTGCTGTCAAAAGTCATGCTTAGGCAATCTTCAATCTTTATTTCAATCGAATAAGATAATATAAGACATTGATCTCGATTCTAGCATAATTCTCTAAACCTAAACTTAAATTTGACAACAGTGTAGCCTTGTCATTATCTATACGGAATGAAAAGGACAGAAAGATTATAAATTTAGTTTTAAGTTTAGAGAATCACGCCAGAATCGACACCATTATTTCACCGGTTAGAGCTCTATGCTCCAGTGGCATAGCATTTTATATCATTTCTTGTCGGCTCCGACACAACATCGATTTCCGACAAAAGTAAATAGCTTCATAAAAGATGCACTGCTTCTCGATTATCCGACTAAAACCACGGCTCGACACCCGACAAATGGGAACGAGCTCTTAGATAGAACTGGATCTGTAGTCGATTCCGGTCCGCTGTGTGCTATACGTTACGAATGCCTGCAGGAACAAAATAAATCTGCAAACATGCCGACCCGACCGGACTGCCTGCCGCCGATTTATAAATATGTAGATCAAATATTAAAAGGACAGTATGCTAGCGCAAGATGATCCCGCCGCGGGCAAAGATTATGTTACGCAGTAGCTAATTTCACTTTTGAACTGCACCTCGACTAACCTATTGGATACGGCCACTGTTAAGGGCCTGTTCAAGTATTACGTAAGCACTATAGGGGGGCAGGTCTTTGCTTTGCTTATTTTTGATGACATGGGGGGGTGGGGGGTAGATATGGTGATTACGTCAGCATCATCGATTAAGACTTTTTAAGTACTGCTGCTCATGAAGCTCATGAAAGCTCATGGATCAATAAAAAAACAGAATACATTAAAGGAAAAATGCATATGTGTACCAATGTTTACGTAAGGATGGGGGGAGGGGTAAGAGCTTTGCTGACGAGGGGGAGGGGGGGGGGGGGGGGGGGGTAAATAATTGTAATAAATCTGCTTACGTAATACTTGAACGGCCCCTAAACAAATAGGTAAGCTTAAACAAATCACGTCTCTGTCTTACTTTGTCTCTGTTCGTCGAATATCATTTGAATGATGTGAAGAGGAGCTCGATGCCGCGGGTGGTAAGCGCGTTCCGCTGCGATCGTTGTAGTTAAGCAACTTTCGCAGTGGTCGGTCATTGGATGGGTGACCAAAAAATTCTATCTCGACTTCCTCCGTGTTTCGGAAGGCACGTTAAGCCGTTGGTCCCGGTTGCACCTGCAGTCGTTAGCACCCGCCAATCCGCACTGGGCGTGGTGCGTCATGGCCCAATCTCCCTATTCCATCCATAGGGAAAGCCTGTGCCCCAGCAATGGGGACATTATGAGGCTGATGATGATGATGATGTGAACCACGAGATTTCATATACTCATCAAAAAAGTTTGAGCAACGTTTGTACGGTTTGAACTTTTCGACGATTTTTACTATTGTAATCATAGTTATGCCTACCTCATAGTTATACTATTATAAACACAATCGAAAAGTTTCTATTTTTAAAATCACCCAATTATATGTATCCTCGGCTTGAGGTCCCCTTAGGATCAGTTTGCCGTCCTCAAGCGAAAACGCATCAAAATGACAAAACCAACTTTTGAGATATGGCCAAAAAACGATGCATAAACTTTAAATTATTGCTATTTTGTTATCATTCATCACATGACGGATTTTTAGACTTAAACTAGAAAAGATATGATTACTGGTTAAAGACAGATCGATAGAGCCCCACTTTAGTTTGAGGACGGCAGAATCTCTCCGTCCCCAAACCCGGTGACGCTGTGAAGGTCATCTGCGACCAATATCATACACACTCAAAACAAAAACAAAATGAACATGAGACGCTTCTGAAAAAGATGGCCAAGCAGAGACCCAAGCACGAATTTTTGATAGTCATAAGAACTAACTCGCTTTTGCCATAAATAAGACGATGAAGAAAAAAAAACAGTTTTTACGGGTTCTATGCACTGAATTTATTTATTATTTGACATTTCTCTAGTTGGGTTGGGTTGGGTTGGTACATACAGGGTTGTATGTATTACTGTATG